TTATTTTCAACCTTCGTTTCCAAAGTTTATTCGCCTTCTTTAGGTCATTTGCTTAGTTTCTTCCCCACTTTGTTCATCTCTGAAAATGTTTCTTTTGCCAGCTTTGCTGCTGATTGATTTAAAGATGGGGTTTTTCGGGGTTTATTTTATTTGCTTGAATGAATGATCAAAGTAATATAGAACACATTTGTATTTTTTTTGCCAAATTGAGGCAAACGAGCCAAGAAAGTCAGAAAATGATTTTCAATTAACTTCTTGTTGAGGTAGATTTGCAAAAAACTGAATTAAAAAAAGATTTTGCTCCTGAGTTTTACCGTAATTTATTTTCGGAAGTTTCTAGAGCATCTTTTGAAGGAAAGCTGCATTTTTGTTCTGAATGTGTTAGTGTGTATATATTTTTTGCTTCTTTTGCATGTTCATTCAATTCCACATGAAAATTTGCATAGAACTTATCAACTGCACAGATTTCTGATTTAAAAAAGTACCGATTTTGAAGGGTGGTAATCTCAGGCACCTTCAGGACCAGTTTCGAGCCTATTAGCTCCCACCAGATTTATCTTGAAACAGCATTTTATTTCGTCCATTTAGTTTCTTTGGACGAGGAAAAATACATATGCGAACATAGTAAAGGTTTTGGGAGTGTTATTTTCAATCCAAACCCAGCTGATGATTTTTAGTACGCTGGAAACTGCTTCTGGAGGTACCTGAGATATTTCAAAATCTCTACTTGCTTTCAAAAGGAACCTATGAAGGGTTCAAGGATGCCAAAATTTCCATTATTCTGTCAACAGATTGTTTTATAAAGTTTGACCAACAACCATTTATATAGAAAAATTAGTTGAAGAACTTACGAGTCAACTTTTCCTTTACAATGTGGAAAAACGTTTTTTCTTCAATTTTTTTTTATTTTGGGAAAAATTTATGGTTTATTCAACAGATTCTGTAAGACAGTTTATTATTAGTTATTCGCTTATTCGCTTTCGATACTCAACGATTATCTGAAAAAAGAATCAGAACTCTTGTTGGTGTTTAATAAAACATGTGCCTTAAATTCAGCACAATTTTAGAAGTAAGAAGCAAAAATCAACGGGATTGATGAGGCCAAATTAAATAAAAACCGCTAAATAATGCAGATGAAAGAAAACCGTTTTAAATAAAACAACAGCTCATGTATAAAACTTTATTAAAAAGCTTTAAATACACAGTACTATACTAAAGTAGTAATTAAATAATTTGCACAATGGCCAAACTCCATTATGACTGTACGGTTGAAGACGTGTTGCATATGTAAAACTACCTTTATCTAACGCTGTTTTGGCGACGTGTATTCACAGATTTCAGAAACGAAAAAGTACAGCAGTAAAATAATAAAAATAAAAAACAAAACATACAAAATTTCCTCTTTACAATAAAAACCAGAAAACAAAACCCTACACTAGTTAGTTATTGGTCCCCTACAGGTTGAGCACTCGCAAAGATATTTAGGTGAGGTTCGGTCCGCCCAAGTGTTCGCGCAAAGAAAAAAACCGAGTAAAAAAATAATTAAGTGTGGCTGAACAAAGGGGCAAGCAAACCTCGCTAATTAAATCAGTCAGTAATTTGCTTCGCACTATGGATCGATTCAAGAACTAGGTGCGCTCTCTACTGGTTTTTCTGGTTTTTCTGCTTCCGGTTCTGCTGCTGCTGCTGCTGCTGGCTCATCGTTGATGGGAGCGATGGGCTGGACGGCCTCAACTGCAGGCTTTACTAAAGCTTCGGCTGACTTTCCTTCGGGTTGTCTTTCAACGGGTTTCTCAGCTTCGATTGGTTTGGCATCAGTAGCCACTTGATCGGCAATTGGTTGCTGTTCATCAGCAGCCGGCTTGGGGGCTTCTGCAGCAAGTGCAGGCAGCTCAGTGGCAGCTTGGGGAAGCTCAGAAGATGGTTCTTCTAGAGGGGCCTGCGAAGCAATTTCTTCCGCCCTGGGTTCATCGGACTTGGCTTTCTTCTCTGAGATTGCCTCGATTGGCTCCTCCTTCTTCTCCTCTGCAATGGTGCTTTTCAGTTCGGGCAGCTTCTCTTCGGCAGCGGCTGGTGCTTCAACTTTCTGCTCGTTTTGAAGAACAACCACTTGCTCTTTGATTTCGGAAGCGGCAGCTGCAGGTGCAAGGGGCCCTTCAATGGGTTCGGCCAGAGGTGCAATGGGCAAAGCCAGAGGCTTCTCTTGTTCAGCGGCTAGTTTTTCAGGGATTTTCTCTTCCAGCTTGATGGGTTCTCCAGCGGGTTCTTTGATTTCTGCTTCAGCGGCCAGCGACTTCAGTTGAGGAGTCGACTCAGTTTCAACTTTCTTCAATGTGGGCAATGGTTCTTCAGGTTTCTTCTCTTCGGCGATTTTGGGCTCTTCAAGCTTTTCTTCGGGTTTCAACAGGGGCGCTTCGGGTTGAATGGTGGGCAAGAGAGCGGGAACACTGGGGAGCTCAGTGGGGGCTGACCGAGCCTCCTCTTTTTCCTTCAGTGGCTGATCCTGCTGGGGAATGGCTGGCTGATCCAGACTGATAGGAGCTAGCGGTTCTTCAGGCGCTTTGATTGGCTCGGCAGGTTTCTGCTCGGCGCTTCCGGACTCTTCCGAGCTGGAGCCAGAGTTTTCTGCACTGGAGTCATTCAGGATGGCCTTTTCCAACTCGTGCTTCGCTTCTTCGGACTTGGACACTGACGAGTAGGAGTCGGAAATCACGAGCGGTTCTTGCGGTTTTTCCTCACTCTCTCCCAAAGGGTAAGCAAACGCCGTGGCGACCAAAAGAATTCCAACAATCAGCTTCATCTGAAACCAAGGAAAACCGTATAAGTTCTCATTCAATATAACTGGATTTATTTACGTAACAGTGCAGAAAGACGCCCATTAACATCAAGGTAACACCGGTAGCGGTATCAGCATATTAACAGCATTTGTTTGTGTTTTTATGGCGGCACAACATGTAAGAGGGCATTTTTTGCCCAAGATTGCTTGTTATTTTCTTATCCTGCAAATGCCGTAGCAAGCGAAAGTTGCAAGGTAATGCAATGACTATTGTTTGAATATACTGGCGTTTCGCTGAAAACAGTCCTCCAAAAATCAATAAAACTTTCAGTTGCTTGAAACCGGTTGAAGAAAAATTGGATAGAATCGGAGAAAAAAATAAAATTATTCACCGAATCGATAAGAATCAGTTTTCATGGAATACCAAACAGGCCATTAAAGACATTCGCTCGTTTATAAATGCCTCAGGTGATCAGATTCGCCGACTAGAAGAATAATAAACGGCTTCTTTAATCGCACTTTATAGTCTTCCAGACGAGACAAAACGAGGAAAAAATGTGCGCGAAGAACGGGTTGGCAGGCGGAGTAGAAAAAACTTGAATAGATTACGTGTGCGCTTCAAGCCCAACAAGGGTTCACAGACTCACGCACGGGATGATGAACCCTATTTAACCGGTTGGCAAAAAAGAAGATCAATAAAGAAGATCGGGCGAATGTTAAAACGAAGAAAAAGCGAAGCGAATACCGCGGATGCCGGACTAGATGGTGAGACCGAAATAGAATTCTTCAGATTGGCTTTAGTTGGTCAGTTCAATTGCTTCAGGAGGATTGTGCTTCATTATTGCCACTTTTCGGATTTTTTGCACAAAATGTTGCTCAGCGCCCAGAAGTTCATTCGCTTCAAGATTATGTTTTGAACTCTTGGATGTTCATTGATTTTATCAGTTTTAAAGCTGGTTTAATAGAAGCGTTTTTAGGCAAATTGAATGTTGGCTTTGATTTTTGGAAAAAAATGCTTTATTGTTCCCGAAATGTTCACTTTGATCTTTGCGAAATAGTCCAAT